GAAAGAACAACTTTCCACTTTGCTGTTACTGCCTATTTAGGACCTGATATTAGATGCCTAACTAGTGGTTGAAGTCAGAGTTTTAAAGTTCTTCAGAACGTTCAGAACTGGGTCTTTTCTCTGATCTAATTCATTCCTAATTTTTCTCTGTTTAAGCAGTAGGGCTATTTTTTAGTTTCCTGCTGTAAATGCAATAATGTTGAACAAGTATAACATCTCCAAAGACGATGGAAAATACAGAGTAAATTCTATCCACTTCAGACTGGGATTGCAGAGATATATAATACAAGCAAACATCCCTAAGTGCAGTGGGACAATGGATAAAGGTCCATCATTTGCTGCGTAGCTGCACCAGTGGTTTCAAGACATGGTTTTCTCGCCAGAAACTGGAATGAGGCCAGAGATTCATGGTTCCCAAACTGGGAAAAAAGCTCTTGATGATGATTTTCTGTCAACACTGATGTGGACTGGATTTACAATAGTGATCTAAATGTGAAAGAGACTACACTCCACCGTAATACATTGGTTGTATTTATATGGCCTATTATTGGAAAAGACAGTCCAAAGGATAAATATCTGCTATTGCTACTCATTAAAAGGCAAGGGACCCCTTAGTGAAAACAGAAGAGATCTGCGTATTTGGAGATAAAGGACCAGACATAGTCATGGTTCCTTGGGCAATATGCATGTGACTACATAGAGTTTGCACCCATAGTGTACAGGTTTCTAACCGCTCTCACAGAGTATCAATATTTGCTTATTGACACCTGTATGTTTCTCTGAAATGCTTTAGAGATCACTGTTGTTGGACAAAACCAGCCCTGACAGCAGAGCCATTATCTACTCCCGTGTAGGTAAAATTGAATCTTCTCCTTTAAAACAACATCTGCCAAAATATATCTGATACTGGATTAACTTCCAGAGAAATTCTGGTTCCTCTTTCTGCATGCTGTGTTTTTTCACTTTGGGAGACATAGATACTGATTTTTCCTCTTCATTCCAGAAAAAATACACTTTTATAGGTACTGTCACAGATTAATATTTTTTGCATATAAAGTGACAAAAATAGACAACTTTTTTCAGAAAAGAGATGTGTTTGGATAGAAATCTATTTATCTTCCAAAGCTTTGCTTAACAAAACTTAAACATTTCTTTCAGCAAATCCCAAGATGCATCAAATAATGGATACTGATTCCT